CTCCTTGATCACAATCTCAGTTTGTGCTGTGTTTCTTTGGTCCTTCATGTAATTTCAGGAAACCTCTAGTTGCCTTTCCCACTCCTTTCTTCTGTGTGGAATGTCACCCATTTTCTTAGCCTCACTTTGAAACACAAATTTCACTTTCTCTTTTAGTTTACCTTTTTTTTTTTTTGGTAAAAAAATTTTTGTTGGGCGTATGAATGCATTCCCGAGAACAATTTGAGGGAGTTGGTTCTCTTTTTCTACCTCGTGAGTCCCTCCAGTTGAATTCAAGTTATCAGGCCTGGAGCCACTGAGCCATCTCACAGTCTTTAGTTTATCTCTCCCTGCCCCAGCTTTATTTCCTTGTTCTTATGCATTCAGTCTTTGCATTGAGAATACAAAGGTGACCACATAATTTCTCTGTCCTGCTGTATATTTAAATTGCACCAGGCTGCAATCAAACCTCATCTGGTTTTCTGAAGCCCACTATTATTATCTAGCCCTCCTCTACACAAAAGAGAGTGTGTGCAGGTGCATGTGCATGTAGGTGCGCACACATGTATGTGCAAATGCACGTGGAGGTCACAGGTCAATCTCAGGTGTCATCTTCAAGCCCCAAGGATGCACCTGTGTTCATGTCCCTGGTGCTGGGATTACAAATGTGCCCCATCACACACATCTTTTTTTTTTTTTTTTTGAGACAGGGTTCTCTGTGAAATAGTCCTGGGTCCTGGAACTCACTCTGTAGATCAGGCTGGCCTCGTGCTCAACACGCAGCTTTTTTATGTGTGTTCTGGAGATTGAACTCAGTTCTTCGTGTTGGCATGGGAATCACATGACTAAATGCCTCCTTGGTTTTTAGAAAGAGTTTTGTGTTTCAATTTATCTTTTTTCTGTTCTTTCCCTATTGAAGAACCCAACTTTGCCTAGACCCAAGCCAGCTACAATACAGACCAAAAAAAACAAGTCAAGAGGTAAGGAAGACAGCCAGAAAGGGGCAAGTCCCTGTAGCACGATTAATAAAAACCTAGAGACAGATATTGGGGTTCAACCTGAAGGTCAGAAAAGCAAAACAGATAGCAGCTTGTTCTTACCTCAGTCTGAAATGGCAATCCTGCCTCCAAGAATCCTCAGAATGAGTCTGACTGAGAGTTGTCTCCTCCCATTTTATATTTCTCTCTAGTTCTGGGATTAAAATTATGAACCACTACTGCCTGGTTTCTGTGGCAAACTAGAGTGGCTACTGGGATTAAAGGTGTGTGTCACCACTGCCTGGTCTTTAAGGCTGACCAGGGTGGCTGTTTTACTCTCTGATCTTCAGGCAACCTTTATTTATTAAAATACATATGAAATATCACTACAAGTCCCACAGGTAGGGAGGGTAGAAGTCAAGAGCAAGTGTTTTCCAGCAGCTGCGCTGGTCACCAAGGTTGATTTCTTGGAGAAGGGTGTTCTGAGGAGAACAATAGTGGGGAGAAAACCCTGGGGCAGCAATGTCAAGATGGGTAGAACCGGAAGCCGCAGAGGAAGCCTGCTAGACGGAGAGTGGGCCAGAGATGTGAACAAGGCAGAAGCTAAATGCATGGCCACCATCTTCCTTACTAAGATATCAACACATTTTCTTTTCGCTTGGGCCTGGGGCTTATATAGGCCTAGCAGGAGGACGAGATGGGACTCCAAAAGAGAAAACTGTGAAGAAGTCTCCAGGCAATGAGTCGACAGTCCCTCCTGGACCCATATTGGGAGGGAAAGAAGAACAGGGGAATTCAGACCTGGACCATCCAGGTATGGCTCAGAGACTTGAAGGCCGAGGGGACTAAAGTCCTTGTCTGTATCTCTCCTCCCTGGGTTATTTCTGAGCAGTTCTACAACTCTTCATGTGTTTGTGTTGCAGTAGGAGGATTGTGATGCTGAGACTGGCCTGTGTTATATATGAGTTCGGGATTAGCTTGGGCTACAGAGTGGGACTCTTTCAAAAATACCAAAAGAAGAAAGAGGAGAAGGAGGATAAATGAAATTCTGAATGAAAGATTGAACCTAGAACATTCTTTATAAACTTAATTTTGGTCGGTTATAGTATGGAAGGCCGTTAATCCCAGCACTCAAGAGGCAGAGGCCGGCAGCTCTCTGAGTTCCAGGCCATGATGTTCTGCTACACCTTTCAGTGGTCCCATGACTAGATGTTTGGCATTTTACACTGAGCCATTTGTGTGAATGCATGTGTGCACGCCATGGTGCAGATCTCTCCTTTTGGGAGTCAGTTCTACCTTTCTACCATGTAGGTTTCTTTTCTTTTCTCTTCTTCCCTCTTTCTTTCTTTCTTTCTTTCTTTATTTTTTTCTTTCTTTCTTTCAGGGGGGGACAGGGTCTCACTATATAGCCCTAGCTGACCAGGAACTCATTGTGTAGACCAGGCTGACCTTGAACTCAGAGAGATACCTGTGCCTTGCCTTTGCCTCCTGAGTGCTAGGATTAAAAGGAATGTGTTAGCACTGCCCACCTTGAGAATTTCATACAGTGTACTTTGGTCGTGTTCATCCTTCGACTTCTCCTGTATCTACACTCTTCCTCCTTCTCTTCCTAACCTCACAAACATGAGTTTTCTTCTTCCCCTCACCCCATCAATTTCAGTTAGCTAGTCTTGGGAGTGGGGCCTGGCTTGGAGTGTGGTTGACTTCTCAGGGGTCAGTCATACCACTAAAGACAACCGACTTTCCCTTTCTCATCAGATATCAAGCTCAATCCAGCACTGGCTGGTCTTCCAGAGGACCCAGTTCCTGACACTCAAACATGATGATGGCTTACAACCATCCATGACTCTAGATCCTGGGGATCTCATACCCTCTTCTGACCCCCCTGGGCACTGGCAAAACACCCATACACACAAAATAAAAATAAATCTTATTTTAAAAATGCCAGTAGCTTTTCAGCCAGTAGTGAGAGTTCAGGCCCTTTCCATATTGGATTTGTATCTGGCTTAAGTTTGCACAGATCTTATGCCTGCTGTCACAATCACTGAGTTCATATGTGCAACTGCCCTGTTATATTCAAAAATAACCTTTTGCATTTCCCCTTCTTTCTCAAACATCCTTGAGCCTTTGGTAGAGGTGTGTGGTAATTCCATGTCCATTAAGTAGAATAATGGTATTGGATTTTCCCTTAGGGCCTAAGATCTGTCTACACACAGGTTCTTGGACCATTTAACAGTGCCAGGTATGGATTCCATCTCATGGAATGGGCCTTAGATTTCTGACACTTATTTATTTATTTATTTTTTTTTTTGTTTTTTTTTGTTTTTTGTTTTTTGTTTTTCGAGACAGGGTTTCTCTGTGGCTTTGGAGCCTGTCCTGGAACTAGCTCTGTAGACCAGGCTGGTCTCGAACTCACAGAGATCCGCCTGCCTCTGCCTCCCGAGTGCTGGGATTAAAGGCGTGCGCCACCATCGCCCGGCTACTTATTTATTTTTTAAAAATTTTATGTGTATGGGTGTTTTGCTTGCATATATGCCTGTGCATCATATGTATACTTGGTGCTCACAGAGGCCAGAAGAGGGTGCCATATCCTCTGGAACTGGAGTTACAGGTGGTTGTGAGCCACTTTGTGAGCCTTGGGGTTGAAACCCAGTCTTCTTCAAGAGCAGCAAGTTCTTTTAACTCCTGAGCTATCTTTCCAGCCCCTTGACGTTTCAGATACAAAGCCCTAAGACTCAGATATTCAGATTTGTTCAGGACCCATGTTGAATACACAGCTGACACGAGGCTAGAGCCCATGTGTGACCCGAAAGTCTGTATTCCACATTCTGATGGCAATTATCCTTTCAGATGCTTTAAGCATAAGAATTATGAAGTCTATTTGTAAGACATCAGGATAGGTTAACATAAAGGGACTCTCAACTTTGTTTTCTTTAGGCCCTAAAAAGAAATTTAAGGCTCCTGAAAGCAAGGCCTCAGCAATCAACTTACCTGAGGAGAAAGAAATTAAAATTGTATCAGAGTGCCCGACCCCACTAGCTCAGCATGGGGTTCGTCCTTTGGGAAAGGAAGGTCCTGGACCTCAGGAGCCCCTGACACAGGAGGCAGCAAGTTTTCCCCCTGAAGATGATGGCTCCAGTGACCTGGACTTGGAGCAACTCATGGAAGACATTGGAGAGCCAGAGGAGAGGGGGGACTCGCAGCAGAGGGACGGCTCTGAGGAGTTCCTGGCGGCCCTTTTTGAGGAATAGCGTGCTCTGGTCCTCCTACATTCTTGAGTAGCCATTAAATGTCAGGGTTGTTGACCGCCAAGTGGTTCTAGTCAGAGCTGTGCAGCCCGTGTCAATAAAGCAGGTCTCTGGGCTACTGCTGAGGTGTGCTTCCTTTCCTGTCTCTATGGCAGAATGCCTGCTCTGGAGGGGACAGGAGGCTGGGGACAGCAGCGAGACCCAGACCTGGGGAACCTCCAGGACAGCGTGTCTGTGAGTCCTGGCTCTCCTTCCTGGGAGCGACTTGACCTTTGGAAAGCACCGTGACCATCTGGTGTTCAGTTCCCTGTCTCACACCATCTCTCTAGGGCTATTGCTGATGTCCTGTGCGGTGGTGCATGGGGACCAGTCGCAGTGTGTGCTGGTTATTACACTCACAGATGTGGGTGCACATCGTGTGGACAGCTGCCAGCATTTGGAGCATCCCCTGCCTTGGGCCACTCGAAAAAAGTGATAGAGGAGGGTCCTCAGAGGGCCAGAAGTTACGGGTCACACTAGTGACCCTTAATTAGATTCATTTAGGCAAATTCTGTAGATCTTTTTATTTGTATGAAAAGGGCCTAACAGGTTAGAAAAGGGAACTGGGAGTTTCTCAGTTTCTCTGAGTTTCTGACGTGTGAATTTCCGTCCTGGCCATGGGTATCTGTGACCCGTGAGCGTCTGACTGTGGTATCAGAGGAAGCTGGGAGTCTTCCTACTAGAAGCACAGGTGACTCCGAGATGGTCACCCAGACCCGCTCATTTGGTTTTCACGGTGGAGTATACAGTCTCTTCCTGGGGGTTCTCATGGACAGGCGGGCAGGCTGGTGTTCCTGGGGAGGTCGGGCTTGAGAGGGCAATGGAGGCATACACGATGTTGTTGTCCTGCGGGGGTGGGGACAGGGCATTAGATAGCAGCAGTGCAGCTGAGGCTCCATAAAGCAGCAGCTGCAGCCTGAGTGTCCCCCCACACCTCTGACCTCCAACCTTCTGCCTCCATCAACACCCCCTTAACTCCTTCAGACCTGAGTCAGAATCGCTTACCTTGGGGTTCTCTTTGGGGTCCTCATATCGTCCTAGAGAAAAAGAAACATGGAGTGTTGAAGTCAAGGTGTATGACGGGAAGGGAGACAGATGGCTGGGAGTTCCAAGCATGAGGTGAGGACCTTGGTTACTTGGGAGGGACAGGGTGAGGGCAGGACAGGCGAAAACACTGAGGGAATGCTTGTGTAAGTGCAGGGTCTTGGGAGAAGAAGGCAGAGCCAAGTGTGAAACAGGAAGCTGGCAGAATTTACCTTTGGGCTTAACTTGCTCACATTTCTCAGTGTTTTCAATGAGTTCCCTGCATGAGAAAAAGATGGGCAACAGATTAGAGGCAGGGCAAGAAAGAATTAAGACATTAGGTGCTGGGCTGGAGAGATGGCCCAGTTAGTAAAATGCTTATCACATAAACATGACGTCCTGACTTCAGATTCCAGCACCCACATAAAGCTGAATGCTGGAGAAGCAGAGACAGGCAGAGAAGTCCCTGGAGTTCACAGGCCATCCTGGACTAACAGATGAGCTCTAGATTCAGTGAAAGACCCTGTCTCAGAAGATGAAGTAGAAGGCTGGAGAGATGGTTCAGTTGGCAAAGGGCCTGCTTCCCAAACATGAAGACCCAAATTTAGATCCCCAAGGACCCATGTAAAAAATGCTGGGCATAGTCAGTCAGGCAGTGGTGGTACATGCCTTTCAACCCAGCACTCTGTGAGTTTGAGGCCAACCTGGTCTACAAAGTTTATTTCAGGACAGCCAGGGATGTTTACAGAGAGAAACCCTGTCTCAAAAAAAATCAACAACAAAATGTTCTGGGTACAATGTGCCTGAAGGGTAGGGGTGGAGATGGGTGGGATCCCTGAAGCTGTTGTCTGCACAGCCCAGCCAAACTGATGATCTTCAGTTAGTGAGAGACCTTACTCTAAAGGTCTCAAAATAAATATTAAATAAAGATGGTAAAAACTGAGGAGAATCATAACATAGACCTTTGACCTCCACATACATGCACAAGTGCACATATAAACACAACATACATGCAGGAACACAAAATAGAATGGAGAGAAACTGAGAAAGAACACCGTTGATCTCTGCCTTTTATACATACGGGCACATGTGCACTGCACATATACACACACAATAACATGTAATAACACACACAGGACTGGGGATGTGGTGCATGCTTGTATTCTCAGTGCTCAGGAGGTGGAGACAGGGGGACTCCTGATGTTCACTGGTCAACCAACCAGGTCTAATTGGTGAGTTCCAGACCAGTGTGAGACCGTCTCAAAAAAAAAAAAAAACAAACAAAAACCCAAGTGGGGTCAGGTGAAATGTCTTAGTGGGTAAAACCATGCCATTAAGACTGACACCTGATGTCATCCCAGGGATCCACAAGGTGGAAGGAAAAAGACAGCTCTCAGAAGTTGTTCTCTGTTTTCCACATGTGTGCTGTGACAAGCTCATACCCACACATACACATATACACATGCACACAAATAGGTAAATGCAATAAAAATAATTATTTAAGGTGGATGACACCTGAGAACACACACATGTGCATGCGCATGAGTGCCTGCGCACATGCATGCACACACACACCCGAGCACACATGCCCACACACTAGAAGCTGGTTCCCTTTGAGTGGCCTCTGCCATCCTCAATGACTCACGGTGTACATGTTGGTGTTCGGCCTTCTCTGGAAGAGGAATGAGAGGCCATTGGTAAGGGGGCCTAGCTGAGGTCTCTTAGCACTAGCTGAGGGTGAGTCACTCTAGGAAACCGCCTTATGCTGGGCAGGAACAGAGACTAGAAATAGGAAGAACCGACACTATCCTCTCTCACTTTCTTGATTAAAACTAGAAGGCAAAAAAATTTCAGATCTGGGTAGGTGCTCAGGCTAAGGTCCTGGAAGAAGGGACCTTAAATAAGACTGGAGGAAGGACATCTGGCCAAAGAAGCCACAGGGAGAGGAAAGAGGGAGGAGCTGGGGATGCAGTGTTGCTCTCAGAGTGCTTGTGTTAATTGACAAGGTCCTGGATTCCATCCCCAGCCCCTCATAAACCAGGTGTGGTGTGATGCCTGTCATTCCAACAGCTGGTGAGTCGAAGTGAAAGGGTCAGAAGTTCAAGGTCACCCTTGGCTTCATAGTCAGTTCAAGGCCAGCCAGGCCAATCTGAGACCCTTTCTCAGAAAAAATTTAGAAGGCTCAGAGCAGGGCATGTGCAGTAAGGAAAAGAAAAGACAGGAGAGAAGGGCAGAGACGTTGGGAGGTGAAGAGAAAAGGGCAAAAGATATGGAAGACCTAGAACAAAGGATTCCTGGGGAGCAGGGCTCACTGACCATAGAGAAAGGCAGAGAGAAGAAAGGGAAAGATGGGAGAGCTGGCAGAATCCAGGCCGATGTTCAAGGCTGAGAGGAGCCAGAGCCACAGAGAGGGAAGCCTAGGAAATGGAAGGAGAGAAGGAGAAAGACACCATGAGGCCTGGGGTGGGGGCTGTTCTGGAAGGAGACTCCCTGAGACTCTGCTGCACCCCTTGTCAGTGTGTGAAGCTGGTGGCCCTGAAGAGCATGGCGTCATGGAGGACATGAAGGAAGCAGACAGGATGAGTCAGAGGAGGGGAGATGTGCAGAGCCCTGTGTGCGGTTCTCCATTGTTCTTCTAATGCCATTTGAAGGGGCTGGAGAGATGGCTCAGTGGGCAAGAGCACTGGCTGCTCCTGCAGAGGACAGGATGGGGCTCACCTGGCTGGGGTTTCGGCTTTAGTCCTCTGGCCTGTGGGGAAGAAACAGTGTCAGTGTGACATCCGTGCTGATCGTCCATCTGCCCCTCAGCTGTCCTCTATATTCAGCTCCTTCAGAGGACAGGGGAGCAAAGAGACCGCCCCAGACAGTGAGGGAAGAGCCTGGACTACCTCTGCTGGGCTGCTGTCCCACATGGCAACCCCTCCCCCAAATCCCTGCCAGGTCCAGGCCCCACCCCTGTCTCCTTTGTTCCTTCACCAAACCTCAGTCCCCCTGATCTTGAACTTTCTTGTCTACTCTGCTTTCTCCTGCCTTCCTTTTTGTGCCCTTAGGAACCGCCTCCTTCTCGATTGTATTTTACTCTATCTGTCTGTTTGTCTTGTTCTGCTCTTTTAATTACTCTAACTTTTTATTGCCGCTTATTTATTATATGGTAGGGGGTGTACCACAGTTTGTGTGGAGGTCAGAGGACATCTTGCAGGAGTCTGTTCCCTCCAACATGTGGCTCCCAGGTTGGACACCAACACCTTTTACTCTGTGAGGGCAACCGTAGCTGTTTAAAAAATTATTTATTTATTTAGCTACTGTAGCTTTTAGCATTTTTTTGTTTGGTTTGGTTTTAGAATTTTAAAATGATGTGCGCATGTTTTGGGGGTAATGCCCATGAGAGCAGATGCCTGTGGATTCAGGAGAGAGCTTCGGGTAGGCCTGGAGCTGGAGGTGCAGGTGGTTGTAAACTGCCTGATGTGGGTGCTGGGAGCAGAACTCAGGTTCTCTGCAAGAGCAGCCAGTGCTCCTTACTGTGGAGCCCCGATATAGACTTCTTGACTGTTTCTTTTCCATTTTATGAATGAGATGTTCTTTGTTCACCTGCATCCTCTTTCCTTTGACAATGTCACCCACTGTGTTTCTGGGAACAAGTCATTTGGCTCCTTAGTCTTTTTCCCCAAGTGTTTTACATTGTAGTTCTAAAGATTTTTATTTGTGTGTGTATGTGACTGTGTGTTTCTGTGTGAGGTTGTGTGTGTGTGACTGTGTGTGTGTGGTGTTTCTGTGTGAGGTTGTGTGTGACTGTGTGTGTTTCTGTGTGAGGTTGTGTGTGCCATCTGTGTTCCCAAGCCCAAGAAGGCCAGAAGAGAGCCCTGGATGCTCAGGAGCTTGTGATCTGCTCCACATGGGTGCTGGAGCTGAACTTGGGTCTCTGCAAGAGCAACACATATTCTTTTTTTTTTTTTTTTTGATTTTTCGAGACAGGGTTTCTCTGTAGCTTTGGTTCCTGTCCTGGAACTAGCTCTTGTAGACCAGGCTGGCCTTGAAGCAACACATATTCTTAACTCCTGAACCATCTGTTATTCTTTTGGTCCCTGCCCTGGCCACGCCCACTCCTTTTAACCTCTGACCTCGCCCACCATAGCCCTCTCTTCCTGTTTTCCTCACGGGTGTACACACGGTGCTCTGCCTCTCTCCTCCTCTCTCTCCCTTCCTTTCTTTCTCCTCTCTCCCCCCCCCCCTCTCTCTTTCTCTCTCTCCCCCTCTTTAATAAACACTTATGGCTATTTTTGTGTTTGTATGTCTGACCCACCGCGTGCGTGCCCTCCCGTTGGTGAGAAGCTGTAGCCGCTTGCTCGGGTGCCGGACCCTAGAGCCGGCGCCCGGCACTGCTGGGACCCGCCAGAGTTTGCTGCGGGGCGGGGGACCCCAAGGGATATTTTTTAAGAATAAGACCATCTCTCTGTGTCTTCTCTTTTGACTTATAAATAGACATTTTATTATTTATTTATATTTTAGGAGAGCTTTGTCAGATCCACACGGGCACTTCAAATCCATCCCAGACTCAGCTGCTCAGTCTACCCTTGTGCAGGTTTGAAGGAAGAATCGGAACCATAGGCTCACCTGTTTGCACCCTTGGTCATATTGGGGAGGTTATGGAACATTTAGGAGGTGCAGCCTTCTGGTGAGGTGTGTGTCACCGGGTGTGTGTTTTGACAACGTATTGCTCCACCTCATTTCCGTTTTCTCTCTGTTTTCTGCCTGTGGTTGAGATGTGACCGCTCAGTGTCCTGCTTCACTGACCCGCCATTATTAACCTTGCTTTGGAGCCTCAAGTGAGAATGACCTCTTTCTTCCACAAGGTACTTTTGATCATGACGGTTTATCACAGCAGAGGAAAGTGACCGCCATTGCACCCCCTCAGACAGACTTCCTCCTTCAGTCCCCATAGGGCATGCTGGTTTCATCAAACTGTTTTTAACAAACAAAACTTGTTCCTGTTCTCTGGTCCCTGTGTCAGTCTAAGCACTGAGTTTTTGTTTGTTTGAGATCTTCTGCACCCACGGAGGACTTTGAATGCTGATCCTCCTGCCTGCACCTTCCACACACTGGACTTACAGACAGGCACTACCACTTGGGCTCGTCTCAGAATCTGAGAGCTTTTGCCTTGAATTTTACCTGGTCCTGGCCATTCGTCTCCATGGGCAACCACAGTGGTAACTGACGCAGCCTGGCACCTCCAGTCTGTCCTCGACACCCTACGACTGTAAGGTCAGAGTCCAGCCGCTGCTCAGGCCGCAGCACCGTCCTTCACCCCTCACAGACTCCCTCCTGAGACACCGTGACTCTCCAGCTGACATACTTCCATCCAGCCCCAGGGTTTCTCTCCTCGCAAGTGACTGATGTCAGAGGGCATTGGTGGCCACACATCCTGCTCCCTTTCCTCCCTCCTTCCTGGTTCAGGCTTGTGCAATGAAACCACCCCATCCTCAAAGGATAAAGAAAGAGCCCCCCTTTCCTAGAGCCTCTGCCATGTTGGTGGGGCCTGGCATCTCTTAGCCCCCCTGCCATGCTGCTGTCTGCCTTTCTGACTGTCCGTGGCATTGATAACTCTTAGTAAACACCTTCCTCCCCAGTGACCTGTCTCTGTGACCCTCTTGAACCCCATCTGAGACTTTCCACACAAACTAATGTCATCAGAGCAGGGCTCTGAGGTGGCCTCTTGGTTTTGCCTCTGGTATCAGAGGCTTGGGGACCTGACTTACAAGGTTCCCCCTGTCATATCCTGTGTCCTCCGCCAGCACCACACTACTCAAGAGTTCCTGACATGGTTTTCCTTTCCTGGAAGGCCAGAGAGTGTCCTACATGACTCCCAGCAATTTCCTGACCATTCTGTGGAAGGGAGAGAGATTGAGATAAATTTTCATGGAGTAAGATCCTCCTGTCCCCACCCCGGTGCACAGACTGAGGTGTGGATCACTAGTGGCTGTCATTGCTTTTATTTTTAATTGTTTTATATTTATTTATTCACTATGTGTGTGAGTGTGCATAGGCCATGGTGTGCGTGTGTCTGAGAACAACATACAGAAGGCAGTTCTTTCCTTTGATTGTGTGGGCTCTGAGTATTTTCAGTGTCTTGACTTCCGGAGCCATCTCTGCCTCTGGCTGTCATTATTAATTCTGTGACATTGGATGTAATTTTTCTTCCTCTGAGAGCTCCTCTCACCACCTGCCTCTCCTCTGACCATGTCTGTCAACACCACAGCTCCTTCTAAAATGAACACTCAGTCCTTGGGACGCCTCCCTCATCACCCACAGTTTCAAGCCAGACTTTGGGACCTGGAGCAATCAATACAGCTGAGCTGAGGCGACTTCCAGTCCCTTCTGCGTTCCCCTCCCCTGGCTCCTCCTGGGCAGGCCCTTTGTCCTCTGATGACGAAATGGCTGTGTCAACAGAGAAGAACTGAGTTTGTGACTGGACTGTGTGGTTCACAGACTGAACCCTCAGAGGCCTCACTTGGAGAACCAGCTAAAGCAGATTCCCAGTGGGGTTAGCAGTGCAGGCCTGCAGTCATCCAAACTGAAACAACAGCAACAAAAAGACCCCAGCTACTCTAAGCAGAAGCTCAGAGCCTGACTCTGGACTCAAGAGGAGGCTGTCAGGGATCTGCCCTGGGGAGGCAGGAAGCCACCCTTAACTCCTCAAAAGCTGTCTACCTTGCTGTTTTTAAAGACAGGGTCTCTCACTGGGACCTGAGGCTCAACAATTAGGCTAGTGTGACTAGTCATCAGCCTCAGGGATGATCTTGTCCCCCCTGCTCAGCACTGGGACTACAAGGATTGTGGTGATGGATCCTCAAGCTTGCATGGCTAGCACTTTACTGACTGAGCCATCACCTGAGCCCCAGGATCTGAGCTGTCAACAATCCCCTTCGATGACTCTGGTGCAGATTGTCCTGTGGAAACATTCAGGAAGTGTGATGGGGATGCAGTCTGGACACTCACCTTTCCTCCTCTTCCACCTGAGGAACACCATCAATCCCAAAACCCCAGCCAGAAGTACAGCAGCAGCCACTGCCACCCCAACTCCGGTTCCCAGATCTAGGGTCTTATTCCTGCTCATCTGGCCTTCAGAAGTTGCAGTAGTGGGGCTTGGAGAGGTGGTCCTGGAGACTGGGAAGATATAAAGAAAGTCAGCATGGAACTTCCCCAGTAGGAATAAAGATTCTAGAGAAGCCTCTACAGCACTCTTTGCCGTCAGATACTGAAGCAATGGATTCCAAGGAACTGGAGTCACCCAAGGAGTCTCAAGCTGGGAGAAGGAAAAGGATGAAGCCTGGAGCCATCTAGCAAAAGAACTAGTTTACCAGAGAGTTCACAGAGTTCTGACAGCTTCTCAGATCACCTTGCAGGAAAGACTGGAGACAGGATGATGGCTCACTGTGGGCGGGGCCACAGCAGAACTGGGACGGCTTGGCTATTCATATGTCTTGCCTTTTATTTAAGCCCAAACCTCTTGACAGGGCCTGTCAAAATCCCAAATATGGAATTGGGGGTTTGTCACTAGATTGTTCCTCTTTCCAATCTGGTCATACTGAGCAAGCCTCTTTCCTCTGCTTTTCACTGTGACCCGTCTCTCTAATTGTACTGTTGAGGACAGGTGGCTAAGCCTGGCTTGTTAGCACTGCCAGGGCCCAGGCTTGGACCCTACACTCAAGAAAAGAGTGAGTTCTTCTTGGATGGGGGAGTGGACACATGGACATGGGTATCCTGTCTCCTTTGGGGGATGCGGGATGGGGAACAGCTCTTAGAAGCTCACACAGGAAGAAGGGAACAGATGCTGAGGCTGAGATGGGGTGAGCAATGACAACTCTACTTCCTGGTGGGAACGTCCTCAGACGCTCATGTCATCCCTTACAAAGAGCAATCTCTAAGTTACACAGATCTAAACAGTCATTTTCTAGTAACAGTCCTTGTTAGAGCAGAAGTAGCCGGCCAGGGTGGACAAGGCTGCTCCTTAGACGTGAGTTATTGAACAAATTCTCAGTGCCAGGCCTGCCTTGCCTCCCTATGTGTTATCGGTGAGCGAGGTTCAGAATCTCGGTCCCACACAGACTGTTGACATTGCTCTTCGTTGCCCACCCCAACTACAGGGTAAGAACCTATTGCAGAAGATGCCGCTCGCTTTCAATATAGATTTTGTATTGTAAAGTGTATGAAATTTTTAAATAAGCAAATGCTACTAAAAATCTTTTGCCAGTTTTTGTTGTATATAGTATGTGTCTGTGTGAGTTTACATATACTCACCTACTCACATGCATGCACATGAGTGCACACTTCCCCCCCACGGAGGATAAAGATGTGCTCCTGAATATGCATGTGGGGACAGAAGAGGCTTCTGTGTCCTCTTGCAACAATCTCCTTCTCTTTCTCAGGAGCAGCATCTCTCTATGAAATGGGGGCTCAAGCATCAGGTAGGCTGAAAGCCAACAAAGTCTGAAGTCCTCTTGCTGTGGGAGGGTCTTCTGTTTTGTGTTGATTTCATTGGTTAATAAAGAAACTGCCTTGGCCATTTGATTGGCCAGCTCTTAGGTGGGTGGAGCAGACAGAACAGAATGCTGGGAGGAAGAGGGAAGTGAGGCAATCTCCATGCCTCTCCTCTCTGGGTCAGATGCCATGGAGCCAGCCACCAGGTCAGACATGCTGAATCTTTCCTGGTAAGCTACTGCATCGTGGTGCTACACACATTATTAGAAATGGGTAAATCAAAATGTGAGAGTTAGCCAATAAGAGGCTGAAACTAACGGGCCAGGCAGTGTTTAAATGAATACAATTTGTGTGTTGTTATTTCAGGAGTAAAGATAACCATGCGGGAGCCGGGTGGATGGAAAGCAGGCCTGCTCGCCTCCTCACTACATCCTGCCTCCACCTCCTTGGTATCACAGCATATGCAGGGACACCCAGCTTCCTTCGTTGGTGATGGGATTTGAACTTTGATCCTCAAAATCCCAAAGCCACTGCTCTTAACCATTCTTAACATTTATTTATAGATGGAGTCCATGTAGCCCAGACTGGCCTTGAACTTGCTGTGTAGCTAATGACCTTAGACTCCTGATCTCTTCGCCTCCACCTTCCACTGGGATCACAGGTTTGTACCACTCCACTTAAAAAATCACTTTAAAACTGACTGTGGTGGAGGACACCTTAAACCCCAACATTCGAGAGGCACAGACAGGTAGATCTCTGAGTTCAAGGCCCATCTAGTCCTCATAGCAAGTTCTTGGCCAGCTAGGGCTACAAAGTAAGACCCTGCCTCAGGTATAAATGTATGTAATGTATGATATATCATTTGAACTCAGCAATATGTGCTCCTGTGACTTACAGCGCATTCAGTTTGCAGAGCAGCCACCACTACCATTCATTCCCAGATGTTTTTTTTCTTTTTTTTAAAATATTTATTTATTTATTATGTATACAATGTTCTGTCTGTATGCCTGCAGGCCAGAAGAGCGCACCAGACCTCATTACAGATGGTTGTGAGCCACCATGTGGTTGCTGGGAATTGAACTCAGGACCTTTGGAAGAGCAGGTAATGCTCTTAACCACTGAGCCATCTCTCCAGCCCCCCAGATTTTTTTATATAACGAATTTTCTTTGCTATCCTAATTTTGGCAGGGAGTGTAGGCAAGTGTGTGTGTATACATATGTGTGTGTATATATGTGTATACATATATATTGCCTTCTTTCCCAGAATGTCCCAAAAGAACAAAACAAAAAACAAAGTTGTTGGAAGTACAGTGATTCAGTAATGACTGAGAGGGAAGGAGTCTCATCGGCCGCTGTCATGGATAAGGTTAGAGTCACTAAGGAAGTGCAGTCCCGAGAGGAGAAAAGGCAGGTCAGCAACTGAGGAGATGGCTCAGTCCAGAAAGCACTTGCCCTGTGCTCTGGTTAGTTATTGTGTCAATTTGACAAAGCTGTAGTTATCTGGGAAGGGGACCTCAGCTGAGAAAATGCCTCCATCAGATTGCCCATAGGTAAGTCTGTAGGACATTTTCTTGCTCTGATTGATGTGCGAGGGCACAGTTAACTGAGGGTGGTGCCATGTCTGGGCTGGTGGTCCTGGATGCTGTAATCAAAGCAGGCTGAGCAAGCCCATTAATCAGCCCTCCTCCATGGCTTCTGCTTCAGTTCCTCTTCCAGGTTCCTGCCTGGAATTCCTGCCCAGCCTTCTCCTGATGATGGAATGTGATAGGCGTGTGGAAGCCACAATGAACCTTTTCCTCCCCAGTGCTTTGATCACGGTGTTTATCACAGCAATAGAAACTCCAACTAGGACACCTCTGAAGCACAAAGACCTAGGTTGAATCCCCAGGGACATCTGCCGGTCTCCATGTAATCCCAGCACTGCAGAGGGAAGACGGGATCTGGGGCTCACTGCCAGCTGGCCTAGCCCAGACCAGAGAAAGACACCCCTCCATAAAAGAAGATGGACAAAAGATAAAAGAAAGAGAAAGAAAGAAAGAAAGAGAAAGAATTGAAAGGCATAATGTGATGAGGGACAAGTTTCCGAGGTTTTTACCTGGCCTCCACATGTATGTCCACACAGACACATGCATGTAAATATGTAACCACAGTGGCATACACCTACACATAAATTTAAAAAATTAATAAAAGTAAAGAATCAGACTTAATAGAGTTAACACCTGCTGTGACTTTTGTTCCCTCCGAACCCACATAAAAATCCAGATGTGGTGAGCATCTGCAACCGCAGCCCTGCTTTGGAGAGACAGGAGCAGACCTGGGAGAATCACAGGGAGGCTGTCTGGGCAGCCATCTTGCACTCCATGGTGAGAAGACACAACAGGAGGAGACCCTGCCTCAACGCAAGTTGGAAGGAGAGTACTGACTCCCAAAGTCATCTGACCCTGCCACTGAGACACCCACATGCCTGTGCACACAAACAGGAAGTACAATTAAAAATGAAGACACAGTGGAACAGAATGGGATAGACAGGCCAGAAATTCATGCTGTTCTACAAGAGAATTTAAAAACCAGATCAGTGTATTTACGGCTGTTAGCTTGCTGTTTTTGTGGGACTCCTAATAGTGGGAGTGGGTGTGTTTCTGACTATTTTGCCAGCTCTTGGCACTCTTTTGCTCCTATTGGGTTGTCTTGTCCAGCCTCTCTTGATAGCAGGATTTTGCCATGTGTTGTTGTGTCTTGCTTTGTCCAGTTTGAGTGTTGTTTCTTGGAGAGGTCTGCTGTTTTCTGATGATGAAACAGGTGGAGGATGTTGATTGATTTGGGGGAGAGGGTGAATGTAGGAGAATGAAGGAGTGAAGGGAGGGGAAACTGTGGTTTGGATGTATTGTATGAGAGAAGAATCTATTTTGAGAGAGAGAGAGAGAGAGAGAGAGAGAGAGAGAGAGAAAGAGATAGATCACCAAGGGTCTTTTGCTTAGATATGAAAAAGAAAAATTGCAAAGGAAAGTATTATTGAATTTGACACAAAAAATGAAATTATGTAAAAAAAATAAACCAATCACAGGGTTCTTTCTCAGTACTTATTTTAACTATTTCTCTGATTGTGATTTCTTGGCACTAAATGTGGGAATTTTGGTCGGATAAACACAATTCTTTTGGGGTCTGTGGATGTAGCTCAGTTGGTAGAGAGCTTGCCTAGTGTGCGCGAGGCCTTGAGTCCCATCTCAGGCAGCACACAGGAGTGGTGACACACCCTAGTGATCCCAGCACAGGGGAAGGGTCCCGAGTTCAAGGTCATCCTTAGCCATATAGCAAGTTTGAGGGTAACCTGGGCTACATGAGACTCTGTCTTAAGAGATCAAAAGAAAAAACATGTCTTTTTATCATTAATTTTGACATTTTACGAACAATGGGCAGGAATATTTAGTTAATGAATTAAATGTAGAAATACTGATGGAAGAATCCATAGTGGCTATGAGGTGTTAACTCAATGGCAGAGCCCTGGTCTAGCATGCAAGTGGCCTTAGGGACCATATGAAGTCCTGCTAAAGAAGAAACCATGGTGTATCTGACTGAAGCAGAGACAGGCATGGCTTCCTTAAATTGAGATTTCTACCAAGCACCTACAGATTATGTTGAGGGCCAGGAGAAATTAGGAAAGGAGGAAGAGGGAGGAGGCTGAGAAGAACAGAGATCTCAGAAAAGGCCATTTAGGGAAACGTGTAGGAGGCACAGGAAATGCAGACATAAGGCGGCCTGGCCAGCTCTGGCTGTGGACTTTATCCTAAGCCAGCACAGGGGTTAAGATGAGGAGTGGTTGGCCAGGGAGAGGCAGGTGGGTCTAACCTGGAAGGGACAAACCCATTTATCACCTTACCCTGAGAACTGGCAATGCAATTAGAGATAATTGATTATCATTTGGCTGTTAATTTTATATTTTATTTTTTAGATATTTATTTTTATTAAATTTTAACACAACATAGTGGTGCTTGCGTGTATGTATTTGTGTTTGTGTGTGTGTGTCAGACATTAACCTTAGTTGTTCCTTCCTCAGATATCATACATCTTATTTGTAATTCAGGCCATGTGAGCCCCTGTAAACGCAACACCATGGGAGATGGGGACAAGAGGATCAATGCAGCTTCATAGCCCTTCAGCCTAGCCCAGAACAGTGAGCTCCAGGTTCAGTGAGAGACCCTGCCTCAAGGGAATAAAGTCGGTCTTACTAGAGGAGGATTCCCAGTGCTGCACTCTGGCCTTCCCATGCACAAAAAGGGGCATGTGTACACACAAACACACACACACACACACACACACACACACAAGCACACAAGCACATACATGTATGCTTACATCATGAAATAAAGATAGAAGGAGGCAAACAATAGAGTGAACTCCAGCAGAGTCTACTGTTTGAGAGACGCTAGGATGTAAAGGGTCCTTGTGGGTTCTGTTGGTCACCAGCATGACCTGGGGCAGGGGTTGAATTCTGCTGGTCTCTGTGTCTCTCTGTAAAATGACCATGAGACATGAAAGTGCTCAGCAGTGGTGACAGGTGGCAGGGGAATGCCCACACGGTGACTAGGCTGGGCCTGAGTGCACTCTGGGTGGAAGCTGAAGTCACAGCTTCCACAGAGGAGGTGAAGCAACCAGAAGACCTGATCATGGTGAGAACGTGAGGGAGAAGAGGGAACTGAGGGAGGGGAAAATGAAACTGGAGCAGGAGAGGTGAGAGCTGTGTCTTAGAGAAGTAGGGGGACCCAGAGGTGGAGGGGCATACATGGGGACCCAAAGCACCCTCTGTGGAAAGCACGAGATATTGTGTAAACCGGGAATTAACGGAGACCCTGACAGCACCAAGTGAAGGCTGCTCCGTCCTGGAGAGGCCACACCCACAGGGATTTCTGGTAGAAAGGGCAGAGGTGATAAAGGCAGTAGTGTAGTTGGGAGAAAGGAGTAGGAGACTAGGCATCTGGGAAGAGCTGAGGCGCGGGAGTGGGGTGGGATCTGAGGGCATAGTGAGGGGGCATCTCAGAGAGAGCAGTTAAAGCTTGTGGATGGTTGTGGGGAAGAGGAAAGAGAAAGATGGCAGAGCTCTAAGGAGGGGACAGAACACACAAGAGAGAATCTGTGGGAAGGATCAGAAATGTCGGATCTCTAATAACATCTATGGTATGAGGAAGTCAGAGCCACCAGGGCTGACCTGGGATGTACTTACCACGGGTGATGGTGAGTTGGGTCCCTTCAATCGACTGAAAAACTTCCATGCGCTTTGTCGTTTTCAAACAAACTCTGCCGAAGTACACTGTCTGATCCTTCTCCTTTAAGTCCAGGATTCTGAGGACTCCGGATGTCTGAGGCTGTGTCCAGTTCAGGATGAGCCGGTCCTTGAAATGCTCATGGATGAAACCCGAGGAAGAGTCGTAGATCAATTCCCCATGGAAGTGCTGCCATCTCCAGAGAATCCTCATCTGTGGATCCGGTGCCAACTCCCAGGGGAAGTAGAAGGAGAAGTGGATCTCCATGAAGTCGCCCTGGACACCAGAGATGTGTGCTTGTTGGTTGACACCAAAGTCATTTACTTTTCTGGATCCTGCTGGATTCCCTGAGGATGAGGAGAATCTGAAGCCACTTTAGGGATGGAATGGACAACCCAGAGCTTCCTGAGCCATCATCCATAGGCAGGAGTGGGACACAGGGGAGGACTGTCCTTATGTTCTACTGTCCTATATGAGACAGGACAGATGGGGAAAGGTTGGGCTGGACCAACACTGAGGATGAGCTTTCTCTTGGGGCACAGAGGGCAGGCTGGCTCCTAGAGCAGTCACCTCTCCACATGCCAGCCGACTCTTCCCAGCCCCACTCACCCCTCCTGTGGTTAAGTCCCCAGTAGTGAGGTCCCCACCACTCACCTGATTGCAGGCAGCCTGCTGGCAGCAGCAGAAGCAGGACCCAGGCCATATCTGGAATTCCGACAGGAAATGAGACCAGCAGAGCCATCGGGAAGGAGAGGAGGCCCCGTGGAGGGATCCTCGGGTACTAAGGAGTCAAGAGAGAATCAGGGTAAAGTGATCCACATTCCCTGGGTCTTCTCATGTGGAGGACTGAGTGGAGGCAGGACCTCCTCATCTCCACCTCCTTGTGGCCAACAACTTCCTTTATCATTCTGGCTTCTTCTTTCCCGTGTTACAAAAGAACTGCCCTTGTGGTCTCTGAGAAGATGACTGTGCCCGTGAGCTCAGCCCCCATTTTTTGCTGGAAGAAACAGCCTTGACCTCTGCATTCCGGGCTCTCCTCTCTTCCACCTTGACCTCCTGTCTCAAGCAGTCTTTCCCATTCCCTATGCAGCTACAATCACTGTTTCCTCAGCTCCCATTTCCTCCACTCCTGCCCTCCCCTCAGTCTGTTTCTCACTATGGCTCCCCTCATGCTGGTTGTCTGTGTCTTTCTCTCTAATGATCATGGTAATAAGTGGTAAGTTTCTGCTCACTTCAGACACAATGAGAAAGGAGGCGATGAGGAAACACATTCAGTCTCCAGCCCTAGTATGGTGACCCCTCCTTCATCTGCTCTTTGCCCTCTTGTTCCCTTTCAGGGACTCTTCACAGCACCCCAGGAAAAGCAATGCCCCATGGACACTCTCGCCCTGACTGCTTGCTGCTGCCGAGTCTGTGCCTTCCCTGGGCTTCCTGGGTGATTGTCCCCCTCACCTCGACAGTGACTCCCACGCTACTCTAGCTTCTGAATGAGCCGTTCTGCCTCCCACCACCCTTAACACACACTCAGAAGCAGAAACCAAGGATCAGAGAAGGCCTGGCATATGTCACATGACTGGACCAGGACAGGTAACTTCAGTCCCATTGAGTTCTTGTATTCCTCCATTTCACACTGACTTCCGGCTGCCTTCTCGGTGCAGCCTGTGAACTCCTGTCAAGGCCACAGATCTGCAGCTGGGCTCCCATGAGGCTTTTCCCACAAAACACTTGAGTGATTCCCTCTAACTATGGCTGTTTTAGAACCTTCTTTGCATGAAATGGGAAAGAAAGCTCAGAGCAGCAATGTGTCATTTTGATATATTGTCTGGGACATCTCTGAGAGTGGACACAGCTGGACTGTGGCTGGGGTGTATGGGTGAGAGGTGGGGGCCGAGTCTGTGGTGTGCTCAGGGCTGGTTCTGTAGGAGGTTGTCCCACCCTTTCTCATGACAAGGTGTCATCAGTTTCCTGAAGGGCAGGAAGATGTGATTGGACCAGAGCAAGTGGCATCATTTTCCCGGAGTGACGTGTGCAGAGGCGACCTCCCATTCTCTTAGATCTCCAGGCACTGACTGCCTTCTCCATGCTTCCCTGCAGTTGACTATGCAGCCACCCTCTGTCATGTCTGCTTTCTCTGCCTTCCTCACAGTCCCCATGGTCCTCTGATACAGGCACCAGCTCTCATGGCCTCACTTCCTGCTGCACATGGACATGCTTCTGTATCCATCCTTTCGTTGGAGACACTGAGCACACAACCTTTGGGATGATTTAGGCCCAAACAGTCCATCAGTCGGGAAAGGGGACTGGGCCTATCATGTCTGTCACAAAGTCCACCCTTATTGGATTGGGTCCATGTAGCCCAGGCTGGGCCTTGAACTTGTTATGTAGCCGAGGATGACTACTGAGCACACCGGGCAGGTAAGCACTCTTCCAGATGAACCTAGTCTTTAGTCTCAGTGAGGAGTGAGAGGGGCCTCCTGATCCTATGTACTCATCTCCAGGTTTCATCTGGCCTTGCTCTACTGTCTAGGGTGTGTGGGTGAGGGTCACCCCATTTCTAAGTCTCTCAAGGAAGGCCTGGGCCCGATGACGTTGCCATGTACCAGCTGCTGGTCTCCAGCATTTTTGTACACTGTTGGTCCTTCAGGATTTCAGCTGTCCCTGTGCTCAGCCTCACTGCTGCCACCTGCTGGCCCCTCAATCCCAAATCATGAACTCTGTTCTAATTTCAAATCCTGGACTCAGTTGTTTCCTATAGGGACCCTGCTGTGGGATGATTTCTGTCCAGCAGGCTGTAATCATTTTCCTGTAGTTAGAACCCAGTTTTCCTCAATAGCAGTGACTGGACCCTGCAGCCATGATGCTTTCACAGAGGAGGGCCACTTTCTTTGGACGAGCAGCCTGGGGCTGTGGGGTGCACACATGGGGCTTTCGCATACATATGACCATGGGGAGTGTCAGGTTACAGTGTTAGAACCTGGCTGCTGCTGTTCAGGCTGCAACATGAGTGTGCCCTGACCCACAGAAAAAATAGGTGAATATAATTTAAAAAATTGAGGTGGACATGGTGGCACACACCTTCTTTCCAGTATATGGGAGGCAGAGGCCCGAGGACATCTGCTAGCGTGAATCTGTATATTGAGTTCCAGATCAACCAGGACTATAGAGTGAGACCAAACAAAAACAAAACAAACCCACAAAAACAAGAATAATAAAAGGCAAACAAAGAGCCGGGCGGTGGTGGCACACGCCTGTAATCCCAGCACTTGGGAGGCAGAGGCAGGCAGACCTCTGTGAGTTTGAGGCCAGCCTGGTCTATAAGAGCTAGTTCCAGGACAGGCTCCAAAGCTACAGAGAAACCCTGTCTCGAAAAACAAAACAAAACAAAACAAAAAAAAAGCAACACAGAAAACAAACAACACAACAAATCAACAAAACAAAACAAAATGTCCAGGTACACGGTGTCTGGAGCAGTAAAGGGGACGTTGCTCTCTAGTCTCCACATGCATGAGCACACACTTCCAAACACATGTACTTGCATGTGCCTGAGCGCGTGTGTACACATGCGCGCGCACACACATGCTCTCACACACACTACATGCAAGGCACCTCTCTGAGCTGATCATCCAGCACCTGCCTTCCAAGTCCTTATCCTGAACAAACACGGCCAGAGCAAGGTTGTGAGCAACAGCGAAGCACAGAGTCCCAGCTCCTGCAGGACCTTGTGAAAGACGCACGGGTAACAGCAACACAGTGCCCAGGCCGGGTCTCAGCGCTCCCAGTGCATGGGACTGAAGTTACTTCTGTTACCGAGGAGAGGCAAGGATCAGAGAACAGAGCAGCCACATCATGAAAATGGGGACATTGCTCTGAAGAACCTTCGGGCCTGTGTGGAGAGGTGACAACTGGGAAGGGGACAAGGGAACCGGGAGCCTGAGGTAACATCAAGGGAACAGGGAAGCCAGAGGCCTCAAACAAGAACCAGGGTGTCTCACCATGGGTGATGGGCAGTTGGGTCCCATCAATCGACCACCAAGTCTACAAGCCTTCTGTTGTGTTTACAGAAATACGTGGTCTAGTCCTTCTCCTGTAGGTCCAGGATTCTAGGTCTCCAAATGTCTGTGCAGATGCAGCATCCAAGCTTCACTTCCAGACTTCATCTGGTCTTGCCCTACTGTCTGGTATATGTGGGTAAAAGTCACCCTGTTGAAATAGGAGCGGCGGGGTTGCATTCCCAGCACCCTGGCTGCCTGCTCGGCTAGCTTATGCCCTGAAATAATTACACGGACACTATATTCTTTTAATCACTGCTTGGCCCATTTCTATCTAGCCTCTTCTAGGCTAATTCTCACATATTAATTTAGCCCATTTCTAATCATCTGTGTAGCGCCCCTAGGTGTGCTTACCGGGAAGATTCTAGTCCATCCTGGGTCAGAGCTTCATCATGTGTGTCTGCCCAGGAGCCGGGAGCATGGCGTCTCTCTGAGGCGTCTGCTCCTGAGAGGAGAGCTGTGGAGTCTCTCTGAGCTCACTTCCTCTTCCTCCCAGTATCCTGTTCTGTTTACTCCTCCCACCTATCTTCTAAACAATAAAATGGGCCAAGGCAGTTCCTTTATTAGCCAATGACCTTCCTCCATCATCACCCAATTGCAGAGTCTCTAACAGGGGTTTCCCTCATTAGGCCTGACCTATGTCAGCTGCTGGACTCCAGCATTTTTGTTTGTTTGTTTGTTTGTTTGTTTTTGAGACAGGGTTTCTCTGTAGCTTTGGTGCCTGTCTTGGAATTTGCTCTGCACACCAGGATGCCTTCAAATTCACCTGTCTCTGCCTCCCTAGTGCTGGGATTAAATGTATGTACCACCGCTGCCTGGCTAAGTCCAGCATTTTTATACAGCAGATTCTGGAGGGCTCTATAGGTGCTCAACGTCACTGCTGCCACCTGCTGGCCCCTGAATCCCAAGACATGTGCTCTGTTCAGTTTCAAGTCCTGGACTTAGTAGATTCCCACAGGGACCCTGCTGAGGGATGGTTTCTGTCCAGGATGCTGTAATCAGTCTCCTGCAGTGAGAACCATGTTTCCCCCAAGCAGTAACTGGACCCTGCAGCCATGACACTTTCAAAGAGGAGGGACACTGTCTGTGGAAGAGCAGCCTGGGTCTGTAGTGTGCACACATGGGGCTTTTGTGCACAGGTGACCATGGGGAGTGTCAGACTGCAGTGTTAGAACCTGGCTGCTGCTCAGGCTATAGCACAAGTGTGTCCTTCACCCGCAGAATGAATAAGTGTAATTTTAAAAGTTAAAACTTAAAGGGGGCTAGACATGGTGGTCCATGCCTTTAATTCCAGCTTTGGGGAGACAGAGGCAGAGTCAGAGGCAAACACAAGTGGATCTCAGTGAGTTTGAGCCTAGCCTAGTCTATATATCCAGTTCCAGGTCATCAGTCGCTCAAAAAAAAAAAAAATCCAAAACAAGCAAAGAAATCCAAGGTGGAATGTGTCCTGAGTTGTAACGCCTGAGGTTGTCCGCTGGCCTCCACATAGGTGAGCACACGCTTGCACACATATGTACCTGAATAGAGATGCAGACATATCATGCAAGGAGACATCCAGACTGGGTCCTGAGAGAGTTGAGGTGATTCTTGAGAGAGGGTGGAGGATGATGACCTGTGGTGTAGACAGGACACTCAGGCTGCACTAGGACTTTACAGTAGCACCGTTGCCCCACCCCCATCTGAACCCTTCTTT